ACAATTAACCTTTCAGCTAACATACGATTACCAGTTTGAGTTGGAAGATACAACAGACAAAATCCCTTGTTTATGTGGAGCGCCGAACTGTGTAAAATGGATGAATTAGTTACACATTAGTCATTGTCACCGGTGCACAAGCTTCTCCCTTTCTTGGGCTGATTTTCATGTTTCCTGCAGTTACTCGCCCGACTATCCTATCTTTTCTGTAGAGCAGTTGTATTTTGTGTCTGTGTTAAGTATAAAGTGGGAAGATGGACGCCGCTGGACGGCGACCACTTCGTAGTTTTATAGGATAGGAGATACCCCTTTGAAAGTGAGTTGACGCGAACCAGAAGGTATCGCATAGCGTTATACTCTTTGATCTTCCGCGTGTGTTCGTTTAAGTTGGTTGTTCAAATACTTTATTTTGTACATAGATGGCGTATTTCGGCTTCTCGCTCGGCATAGAAAGGAGATCAACCGTCTCCATCATTGTCTACCTCGTTTCTGCGCGATTTTAGGTCAGAATTTAGGACTTAGAATTGCATTCAAGTCGGCGTTAATTACATCATCACTACCCTATACTGTATTATTTCCCATCCAATTATGCTATTTATCCACCTGAGCATTCACATACATCCATCCACCCACCCACCAATCCCATCACCTCCTTTTCCCACCACCACACAAAATTGTCATTCTCAGTCGTTGTGTTCTCTTGTCCATAGTCGTTGTTGGTCTCGTACACCTTTGTCAATTTATAATTTAAATATTGATATTTTTTCGTGGTTTTTCTTTACATAATTACATTTGTTGTGTGATTCATTCTTTTATTATTTACAATGTTTGTATTTCATCGCACATTTGTCTTTTTTTACCTGTAACTCTCTGGTACTAACATCTACTACTCATCTACCGAATACCACTTGCGCAATTTCAATCTTCATACTACTTTGTTTTTGTGTATACGTGATGATCCGCTCGCGCGACTTTGATAACTGTTATGATCATGATAGAAAGTTTGTATATTATTTATAACGTCTCTCGAAACTCGTGATTTGCTTCCGTTTTTCATATGTTTTAGCGGTGCCTCACACCGGCGGACTGGTCATCGTTAGCCGTCTTCATGATTCTATTTCATGGAGATTTTTCGTGTTTACGGTGCTTTCCGTTGTGACGGTCCGACTATACGATGAGGGGAGTGCCTGCCCGTTTGTGAAAACGCATTGATGTGTGTGTGTAACATTTGCATATGTTGTACCTTGAAATACTATTAAGTATTGAATAGATTTATCTACTGTGTCGTGTTCACAGATGTACAGATGATGTAACGTTCAAGAGGTACAAGTAGCTGTTTGCAGCTGCTTCCTTATGCTATTTTGGTGGGTCACACAGGAGAGACAATGGAGAACTACCATGCTTGGCGTCACAGGCAATAACGTGTGGTCCTAATGAGAGCGGTAGTTGACATTCAAAGAATAGGTTCATATATGAAAGTCAGCTCTGAACAGGCAGTTCTAGCGTCAATTAGAACTTCTACTACGGATCATATGCTTTCATACCTTCGTAACTTTTCCAATGAATGGAACTCCTCTAAACTGTCCTAATACAGAAAGGCACTTCAGAGTTTCCTAGGTTAACCTTGCAGTTGAAAAATGAAGAAGGAATGCGATGCAACTGAAATGAAGTGGATAGATATCAAGTAATATCAAGTGAAATCAATCTTCTTACTCTTGCTTTCAAAGATAAGCAATTGTGACCTTACTTCGTTCCTTGAAAGCTGCCGCTCTCCTTGAAGATGAACGTTTCCTTTCGTAACATTCGTGGAATTGTGACCTGAACAGATGTAAGTACTCGAAGCTTGAAGTTCATTTCAATTTTTACGGAAGTAGTCCTGTCGTTAAGTTCCTCAACATTACTCATTTCTACGACTCCAACTATCTTCTGCTATGGATTATATCAGAATTGCGATTCTATTGTATTGTGCCGAAAGGTATTAAAATGGCCCAAAATTTTTAGAATAGAGGACATGAGATATTTGCTGAATTGTTCTGAAGGCTTCGATGGAATCTGTATGAGGGCAATACAAACTTGTATGTGACAACATGCCCGGCTCCCTTTGTTTTGCTTAATTGACTTCATAATAGCCGAATTGTCTCCCGAGACTGCACATGTGCCTCTTTACAAGTTCAAATCAGGACCATCCGCTGCTGAAGCGCCTTGAAACTTGTGCCAGGTATTAACCTCTGCAATT